ATTATACACATGATACTGTTATAACAATCGGTTTCAACATGAATTGGAGCAGTGATACTTATCTTTGATTCATGGTTGCGTATGAAACAGATCTGCTGTTTTCTATGATTTGTTTATGTTAATTTTAATTTGTGATGTAATTTGCTTTTTATAAATGTGATAAAGATTGATGAAGAAATGTAATAATTTCAAAACTTATCCCGCCTTCCATGTAACTATTATTTTTCATATGTAACTATTGTAATTAATTTGATTTGAACAACTTATATTTGCTCACTTATTGATCTTTAATTAGATTGTAGCTGACGATAAATCATTTTGCTGGTACTTTAGTAATTTTATATTATCTTTAATTTAATATGTTATCGAATGCAATTAAATCAGTAAAAAGAAATAAAGAGATAAAGTTTTATGAGAAATATTACGAGTTCAACTTCGGTATATGTCGCTCAAAAACTTAATTTATTAAATATTGTTTATTAAATATTGTTTAAGATAAATATATTATACCAATAAAAACTTTAGCTGAACAAAGAATACAAGAGCTAAGCATTTGCTCCATCCTTTACTATCTCTACACTTATGTATCAACAAACAATCAATAAATATTTTGCGTCCTCTTAGTACAGTAATTATTTAAATGTAAATTATGATACATGGTTGCTATTACATTTAAAAATCAATTAAACTGATTTTTTAATATTAACAATAAGAAATTAAAATCGTCACTGGCACAATGTAACATAAAGGCATATAACAGAGTAATTACATGCAAATTATCGTCTGCTATTTTTTTCTGATTAATTCTGCGGCATAAATATGACGTATGTATATCGGAATCAATCTATTTATCATAAAATAGCAATTCTGCAATCCTACATTATGAAACTTATATTATAAATTTTTCGTCTTACATATTTTTTATCTTGTAAGGGTTAAAGGCGACTTTGTTAATAATAATCAATATCTCATTTTTGCGGAAGAGATTATTATATATCTCTTATAAAGCAAAATGTGTCATTAATTGCAAGTTACCTAATTACGAAAGACTTCTAGCAGATATTATATCATTTTCAGCGTTTTTTTTTTTTTTAAGATAATTGGCATAAGAATATCGAGCTTACAAGTTCCGGAAATATTTAATTATTTGTGAATAGAATTTGCGCTTTTATAATAGAAAGATAATTATACATACGTATCAATATTTCAATCTTTTCAGTATTTTTCCAATGCAAATGTTAATTTTTATACATAATTGATTTTGTTTTTTCATAGCTAGAGATAATTATGCAAGACGTAAATTATGATAAATTAAAATGATATTAAATTTTTTTACACATCTTAATTGTTGTGAAATATTTATGTGATCAATACATTAATAAAAACTTTGAGAAATTGGTATTAATATATCTAATTATACTGTCAAGTACTATTCTAAACAAGTAATCCAAATATTAGTTCAATTATGTG